AGGTGTGATAAGACAGGCACCAACCAGCCCATCTTATCAAAATCCCCCCCATTTGATAGTCACTTTCCCTCAAAACATACGTTGAATGGTTTTATAACCCTTTGTTTATAATAGATTAAATACATACTAATTTAGGGAATCTCTATGTACCTCCCTGGCCTAATTTTTGCCTAGACTATTTTGATAACTACTGTGCCTTAATAAGGCACTTTAATATATGGTGAGGCCCAGTATTACTTTTATTACTTTTTTCCACATTTATTTGGGTTATTTTGTCAATTTCTATAAAGTAACCCATGGGGATTATAAACGATATTGCTTAATTCTATAAATTAACCTGAACATGATTTTAGTCTTCACCATTTCAGTTTTCTAGTCAGCAAGAGAGTATAACTTTACATTTTTCACCAAAAGTCCTATGATTAAAGACTTAAGAGAATTTAGATATCATCTGAGTTCCAGTTCTGGGCTACCCTCTGCTATACGCATGTTATTTTATAGATGCTCAAACCAAGGCCCGAAAACCTCTATGTGGTTAGGGGAACAGCTGAAAACAAAACCCAGGGCCTGTATCATTTGACACTTTTTCTATCACACCATTTATTCAAGTCTTCATTCATTGTCTTTAACGCTTTAAAACTATCTTTCATAGATGTTACTTGGGTATATCCCAGTTGGTTCTTTTGTAGGAATGTGCTAGTTTGTAGTAGAAAAACATGAGCATTGATGTTGAACTTTGTCCATCTGGTTTCTTCAGTGGAGAGAAAATGTGCAAAGTTCACTCCATTGCATCTTACTTTCCCCAAATGTTTTTTCCCTAGGGAAAAGCACACTGGCCTTTGAACTGATCGCCCATTTTCGGAGTCACTCTATCGTATCTTTTTAAGGATTTTATTACAAATAGTTGTTTCTTGTGCACTTATAGTCTGTGGGGAAGTATGTTAGATACGCAAAGAGATAAAGTTACAGAATCTTCCCTTTCCAGGAGGTTCTCACAATCAAATTCAGGACCGCAGATATAGAGTGTATCAGGTTCATGTTACAGAAAACCCAAATAACAGTGGTTTAAAGAAAATATGGATTTGTCTCTCACGTAATGGGAAATCTGAAGGTAGGCAATCCATTATGTTGGTTTCATGGTGTCATCAGGGACCCAGGCCCCTTCCTGACTTCTACTTCTTCAGTATCAGGGTGTGAATCTCATTGTCATGTACATCAGAAGATTGCTAATGCTCTAGCCATCATGACTAATGTCCAGTTAGAAAGAAAAGGAAGATCAAAAGGCTCTCTTTATCTAGTCTTCCTGGAAGCCCTCGCTTGACGCCTGCATCTATCATGGCCCAGACTGTGTCAAATGACCACCACTAGTGACAAGGAAGCTGCTGGGTGTAACATTTTAGCTAGGCACTTTGCTACCCTCAGTAAAATCAAAGATCTGTCTAAATAAAGAGGACAGAATGGCTATTGGGCAAGCAACCCCAGTCTCTACTACTCAGTGTATGAGGCAGAAGGTAAAACGGGAAGTCATGTTCTGTTCATGCTAAGACCATATGGCTAATGAGGGCTTAGGGCATAGTCCTGATGGTTAAATTGGATTTAGACAAATGGTGGTGGGCAGAGGTGGCATCTCAAGACCAGAAAGTGCCTAAGCAACGATGAGCAAGAGTTCTCCTAGAAGGCGTAAGGGAGAATGGCAGGAGGGAGGGAGGGACTCCTTCCATATTTGGAATGTCTTTCTGGGAGTGTGGGGGTGCATAGACATGCAGGGATGGATTGGCTGTCAACTCTGCTTACCCATCACTGTTTTCCTCATTAAATCTTCACACCAATAACTAACACTTATTAAAACCAACTATGCACCAGAGGGTTTGCTAGGTGTTTTAATACCTATCATCTCTATTCCTTGCAATAACTCCATCTTAAGGACAAGGAAACTGAAGATGAGACAGATTGAATAGTTCACCAAGGTCATGCATCTTTTAATTGTAAGATACCCTGGATTGGGTCTTAGACCAGACTCCATGTTTTTTCATAATGTCACATGTTAAATTCATTTCTTAACTTTATTTGGGATTGGGGAGTGAAGATGGGTAGGTTAAACTTCTACTATTCCTTGGTAGTTTCTAAATTCTAAACTTTATGGGGACTTCACAAACTCTTCAACTAACTAGCAGTGTGACCATGGACAACCTACTTAACTTCGCTGGATCTGAATCAGTTTCCTTATTACTCAGATACAAAGCCAGATAGACATTATAAGAAAAAGAATGCCACAGCCACTATTCCTCATGAACATAGATGCAAAAACTCTAAGCAAAATTTTAATCCATGAAATCCAATAATCTAGAAAATGGATAATAAAACAGATAAAGTGGGGTTTATCACAGGAGTCGTACTAATTTGGTTTAACATTTGAAAATCAATCCAACTAAAAAGAGAAAAAGATAAAAACCATATGATTACCATAATAACACAGGAAAAGCAATTGACAAAAATCCAACATCCCTTCCTGATAAAAATTCTCAGCAGACTACAAATAGATGGGAGTTTCTTTGATCTGATAGAGTACCCATGAAAAACCTATGGTTAACATCATACTTACTGATGAAAGACTGAAATTTTCAGTTTTCCATCTAAGATCAGGAAAGAGACAAGGTTGTTCATTCCCACCACTTCTACTCAACATTGTACATATACTAGCCAGTGCAATAAGACAAGAAAAAGAAATCAAAGGTATTGGAAAGGAAGAACTAAAACTCTTTCTTCACTGATGACATGATGGTCTATGTAGGAAATCTGATCAAATCTATAAAAATGTGACTAGAACTAAAAATGAGTTCAGCAAAGTAGCAGAATACATGATTAATATACACATCTATCTTCTAGAAATAAACAATCAGAAATTGATATTAATAAAACAACACAATAGCATCAAACATATGAAATACTTCAGGACAAATGTGACAAAATATCTACAAGACCTGTACACTGAAAACTGCAAAACACTGCTGAGAGAAATTAAAGAAGACCTAAATAATTGAGAGGCATACTTTATTCATGGGTGAGAAGATGCAATATTGTTATGATATCAATCCTCTCCAAATGTATGGAGAGAGTCAATGCAATCCCAATCAAAATGGTAGAAATTAAGCTGAACCTGAAATTTATATTGAGCTATAAAAGACCTAAAATAGCCAAAACAACCTTGGAAAAGAATAGAATTACATGCTAACACAGCTGCTTGCAAGTTCGCTGATCACGACACTGTGGTATTGATGTAAAGATAGACAAACTAATAATGCAACGGAATAGAAAGTCTGGAAATAGACCACACATTGATGAAAAACTGATTTTTGACAAAGATTCAAAGGCAATTCTGTGGAGAAAGGGCAGTCTTTTCAACAAATGGTGCTGGAACAATCAGATATCCATATGCAAAAATAAAAAACAAAACAAAACAAAAATTTTGGCATATACAAAAATTAACCCCAAATGGATCACAGACCTAGATGTAAAACCAAAAGCTATAAAACTTTTAGAATAAAACATAGGTGAAAACCTTAAATTACGCTAAAATTTCTTAAATATGACACCAAAAAAGCATGATCTATAAACGAAAAAAAATGAATCAATTGGACTTTACCAAAATTAAAAACTTCTGCTCTTCCTAAGACACTGTTATGAGACAGAAAAGACAAGCCACAAACTGGGAGAAAAATCTTTATAAAGCACATATTTGATAAAGGATTTGTATCCAGAATATATAAAGAACTCAATAATAAGAACACAAACAACCCAATAATAAATGGGCAAAAGATTTGAACAGATGCTTCGCCAAAGAAAATATATCCATTGCAGATGAGCACATGAAAAAGATGTCAACATCATTAGCCATTAGAGAATGCAAAATAAAACCACAATGAGATACCACTACAAACTATTAGAATGACTACAATTAAAATGTCTGGACACTCAAGTGTTGGCAAGAATGTAGAGGAACTGGAACTCTCTACCTGCTGGTGGGAATGTAAAGAGAAACCACCACTTTGGAAAACGCTTCGGTAGTTTTTTAAAAAGTTACACCCACCTTATGACCTAGCCATTCCATTTCCAGGTACTTACCCAAGAGAAAAGAAACCATATGTAAACACAAAGATTTGTACAGGAATGTTCCTAGCAGCTTTATTTCTAACAGGGAAAAATGGGAAACAATATACACATCTATCAACAGGTGACTAGATAAATACATCATGGTATATCTACAAATGGAATACTACTCAGCACTAACAAAGGATGAACAACTGTTACATGCAAAAACATGAATGAGCATCAAAATAATTACACCAAGTGAAAGATGCCAGACAAAATCAAGCACCTACTGTATGATTCCATTTATATACAACTCAAGAAAATGCAAACAAATCTATAGTTCCATTTATATACAATTCTAGAAAACACAAACAAACTAAAACAGATCAGTGTTTGGGCTGGGGGAAGTGGAGTAGGGATGGGTGGTGTGGGGCAGGACCAGGGGAACAGCAGGCCGGGGAAGGAAGGGAGAAGAGCACGAGGAGGCTGGTGGTACTGGGCAGGGCAGGAGACGGTAAGCGGGAGGGCGCCAGGAAGAGCCAAGGAGAGGCAGGTAGGGGCAAGAGCAGGAAAGGACTAGGAGGAAGGACGGGAGACACGGGGGAAGGGGTTGGGTTCGGGGGAGAAGCGTGAGGAGACTCAGGGGCACAGGGAGCACATGGAGCAGTGCTTGGTGGGCTCTGGAGCGTGGGCGGGAGGCGGGGCGCCGGCGGGGGGGGAGGCGGGGCGCCGGGGGGGGGGGGGGGGCCCACGGGAGCTGGCGTCATGGCGCGCCTCCTGCGCACACTCTGGGGCCTGCCCTTCCGAGAGGCGCCCGGGCGAGCCTTGCGGGGCCGAGCGGGCTGCGGTGGCCTTGGCGCGAGGGCGGGACACGGGGACGCAGGTAGGACGCGAGCCTCGCGGACCCTGCCCCCGCCTCCCAGCTTTCGGTTTCGCTTCGCTCGCCGCAGCTTGGGGACCTGAGTGCTGCTCTGGAGCTCGAGCTTGCCGTCTCGGACAGTGGGTCGTGCACTTGGAGGGGCGGAAGGGGGAGCCACCGACCCCTGTGAGAATTTGAGGAACGATATAGATCCTCTCCCCAAACGTGCCCACTTTTTTCTTTCTTTCTTTCTTTCTTTTTTTTTTTTTTGCATAAAATGTCGGGCTCAGGAGCCCCGGGCGCTCATCGCGGGACTCCAGGTGAAGAACTGGGGTGGTTGGGGCGACACGCGACACCGCGCGCGCTCTCCTGTGGTGGCCCCGCACCTCTTACCTTGTCCCCTCTTCGAGCTCTGCGTGCTGCTCTCCGTGGCGGAGACGCAGGCAGTTCAGACTGGATTCCTGTGGCTTTGCTTCCTGCCCTGGTCTATTTCTATATGTGTTTCTGGGGCCCAGAGAAACGTGCGGGCTAGTAATTCGTTCCCCCTTTGAAGTGATAATCGTTTTTTGTTTGTCAGTGGCAGTGAGACCAGGGAAAAGTGTGTGTGTGTGTGTGTGTTTTCTGCAAAATGCCTTTCACACCTCTGTTGGATTGGGGCGTATTTACATTTCATCCATTCGTAGGAGTCTCGTGTGGAGACCTGCGTCAAGTGGCAGTGTATTCAGATATATTTCAGGGTAATGTAGTGCCCTCTCTGGGTTGGCTTCCTGGGCAGCTGCCCAGCTGTCCCATCTCTGAATTCAATTCTGTTACGTGTCCACTGAAGACATGTAGAGATACCTAACTCTGCTGAAAATGTGCTCAGTCACTTGGAATTCTTTATCCCCTGACGTTTTCAAAGTGTCGTGTTAAATAAATAGAAGCGCCAGCTTTATGGAGTGGTGGCTGATCCAACGTGAGTACCAGTCATGGCCTTCAGAACCCCTTAGTGTCTCTAGTTAGCCAATCGGATGCTTATTTCGTGCCTGCGGTGTGCCAAGCATTAGTTTCCTGAGGACAGGTGATGGAAACATCCCAGCTGTGGGCTGGGCTCTCCTCATTCCCATTTATAGGATCCTGGTTTCAGCGGAAACTGGTCCTTCAGGTTTGTACTTGGTGCTGTCGGAAACAGCCTGATGAATTGCCCTGGGATCCGAAGTTCTTCAGCAACTTTAAAGTTTGGCCAGACACCAATACCTAACAGGAGCTGTGTAACTTATCAGACACCCTCTCCCGGGAATTTATTCTAAGGAAATAATTCAAAAGAGCAAAGCTATATGTGCAAAGGTGTTTAAGAGCTTACTCTTAAGGATCAGAAATTGGCTGTAACCCAAATGTCCATCAGTTAAAGAATGCTTAAGTAAACCGTGAAAGTTCAATTCAGCAATTAGGCATCCATAACAAATGACAAACGGGAATAGTTCGCGGTTAAGGGCTTCAGTGTCAACAATGTCACTTACTGACTCTGTGCCTTTGTGCACTTCTTGAACTCGGTAAGCTCAAACCTGTTTTTTTCTTCTATAAAATAAGGATAATGATAACAGTAGGGTCGTTGTACAGAATAAATTTTAAAAATTTGGCACTTAGTAAACACACAATAAATGTTAGTTATAATTACCTAAATAAATGGAAAGGACAAAAACTGTAGCTACATTTAACCCACGTGGACTTGGGGAAGGTTGAGAGAGAGAGAAATGAGCAGATGTTGAAAGTGGCAGAGGACTGTTCTCCCGCACTGAGCTCTCTGATACGCAAGAGGCAAGGCCGCTGTGGTTTTGTCATCCAGATGGACAAAGAGCAAATTGAAAGAGGAAACTTCTCTTCAGAAACAGATTGTTTCTGAACAATCTGCTTCGGGAAAACATTCTTTCTAGAGATGCTCTGGTAGGAGACCATCCTGAGCATAAGGTTAAAACAGTCCAACCACTGTGGTGGAGAGAAGACTAGTTGGCAGATGCGAGTGAGCTGGGAATTCTTTTTGTGCCAGTCCCTAATAGGTCCCCTTAGTTTCAACAAGTATTTATTGAATCGCGGCTGATTCATGTGTGACAGTTGGCAGTATAGTAACTGAAGCCAGAAAGATTAGCAAAACCAGAAGGAGATAACCAGTGAGCAAGATTTGGTTTCCTTAAAGATGGAAAGCGGAGACCCATCTCATGGAACATATTTGTTGTTATTGTTAGTGCTACTGAGTTGATTTCAACTCCTAGTGACCCTGTGTACAGTAGGGCAGACTCTGCCCCATCTTTCTGCGCCATCCTGTCACTTGCCAGCGCTCTATCAGACAAGCTCTGCTGCTATTCATAGGGTTTGCATGGCCAGTGTTTTCAGAAGTGGGTGGCCAGGTCCTTCTTCCTAGTCTGGAAGCTCTGGCGAACCCTGCCCACCATGGCAGACCCTGCTGGTATTTGAAATATTTCAGCCATCGCAGCAACACGCAGCCGCCACATATGACAACCAACAGACGGGTGGTGTGGTTCCTTGACTGGGAAGTGAACCCGGCATGCAGAGGTGCCTGTGATGAATCTTAAACGCTAGACCGCTACATGGAACGTGTAACCAACAAGAAAGAAAGCCTCTGCAAGTCACAGCACGCAGAAAGAACCTGGAGGAATCTGAGTTTATCAAAGCGTAGTTCAAGGTAGAGCTGTGTGGCTGTCGAATACAGTATGGCAACAGCCAAGCTTTTGGTAGTGACGATAACAAGAGAATGCAAAGGGAATCTGAAAGAGGTGCGGTCCCAAAAGCTGGCATGCAAAGTGTAGATGATATGCATTAAGGATGTAAAACACCTGCATACAGACACGCCAAAGGATGAGAAGACCAACGCTGAATCCTGCTCTCTAATCCCTGGTGGCCAAGAGACTTTACTCTTTCCTCAGTGGGCCTTGCTGTGTGCTGTATGTACATGCACCTTAACTGTTGTTTGGTACAATTGCACAGAATTTACTCAACGCAATTTTCATTCAAACTTCAGCTGTTTCCTAAAGTGCAGTGTATTAGTCTGCTAGGGCTGCCCTAATAAAATAAAATACCACGGAATGGGTGGCTTACACAACAGAAGATTATTTCCTCACAGTTGTGGAGGCTGGAAGTCCAAGATCAAAATGTCGGCAGGGTTGGTTTCTCCTGAGGCCTCTCTCCTCGGCTTGAAGATGGCTGCCTCCTCACTGTGGCCTCATGTGGCCTCTTCTCTGCACGCATTCTTGATGTCTGTGTGTGTCCTCATCTCTTCTTAGGAGGATACCAGTCAGATTGGATTAGGGCCCACCCTAATGGCCTCATTTTACTGTCATCACCTCCTTAAGGGCTCTATGTCTGAATACAGACATGTGAATTAGGGCCCACCTGTATGACCTCGTTCAACGTTAATTACCTCTTTAAAGGGCCAGTCACCAAATACCTTTACATTCTGAGATGCTGAGGATTGGAACTTCAACAGATGAACGGGCGTAGGGGGGCAATTCATCTCATAAGCCCCAGGTTAAAGAAACCTCTTCAGGTGATGCAGACCTCATGTATCTTGACCTGAGAGCACCAAGCTGACCATTTGTCATTTTGCCATCAAGGCAGAGTCTGTCTCCTCTTGACTGAGTCTTCCAGGCTGGCAGGTCTGCAGCTAAATGTTGCATAATTGGTGCTTGAGCCACAACTGGTCTGAACATTGTTGCACGGGTGCAACATACACATTAATAATAGTGTAAAAGGTACCTATGGATAAGGATTAGAAGAGCCATGAAAAATGTACTTTCGTATTGTGTTTAGATGAAGGAGTAATTCTTTTCTTTAACAATTTAAAAGTTAGTTATTAATTTTAAACTAAAAATATATTAGAGCAGAGGGAGAAGGTGAGTCTGAAAAACAGTCAGTCACTCTCTAATAGGTGTGGAAAATAGAGAGCTGTGGGAGAAGGAGGTGGGAACCCATCCAGGATTTACGCCATGGGGTCATAGTTGAAGCGTGGGAGTCCCACTGAATTTTAGCCCTTCTCGAATTTGCACTTTCTAGTGTCAACTATTATATTGTATTGCATTTGCAAGACACAAAGGGCAATACTTTTAAGAGACAGTTGGCTATTTTCTGTAATCCCGTTCCACTTCCTCCCCAAAAGGTGATAGGAAGATAATGGGAGCTTTATAGACTATAAATCCCAACCTTAGTACCAAAAGTTGGTCCTCCTGTTAGCTATTCATAGAAATTATGCAAGATCTTTGTCAAAGCCAGGGACACACGTGGAGTAATGTGGTGTGACAGATACTTGAAGAGTAAGGAGAGCTTTTGTCATGTGCTCTATTACTCCTTTCCTTGACTGATGGCAGTGATAGCCAGGGTTCAGGTTTCACAAATGCCCCTCAAGACCGGAGTTCAGATTCTTGAAGGAGGAACTGAGGACAGTTTGCTCTTACTAGCAAAGTCTGCTCTTGCTCTCCTTCCGTTTTTTCACCATTTGGAATGGCCTTTGTGTAACCAGTCCCAGCTTAGGTCACTCTGACACATTAGTTCACCTTGGAACTGGCCATCTTTTGTCATCTCGTCCTTGGTTGAAGGCTTACAAGATGTGGTTATACGCATACCTCTATCGGTCTTCTGAACTGCCTAAAATGGAATGCTTCCGCTTCACTCGTGTTTAAACACATAGTTCACATCCGTTAAAGCCAGTTCTAATCTCACTTGCTCTTAAAACAAACAAGAAAAACATCTTTCACTGCTAACCAGCCTAAAATGATTTCAAAATGTTTCCACCATTCAATTGGCAGTTAAACTTGCATTGCTTTGTAAAACCTCTTATTGACACCTTGATTAATTATCCAAAGCTTATATAGTCAGTAAACATTTCACAATTTAATTGGTCTCCCATATTTGGTCTACTAAAGGTCAGGAAGAGCTCTACAGTTCTTCCTTTTCTCTCCCAAATCATCAATTTATCCTCTTCTCTGGATCATCCCCATCAGCATACTAGAGTACTGTGATTTTTCTCATCTTAAAAAAAACTGCTCTTGACCTCACTTCCCATTCCAGCCACCGCTAGAACTTAATCTGTAGGCAGTGTCTCCCATTCCTTCCTCCTATTCTCTTATTGAATCTATTCCAATCATATTTACCCCCAATTCCTTTATCTAACCTGCTCTTTTTCAAGTCACCAGTGATCTCCACGTTTATAAACTCAATGGTCAATTATCAGTCATCTCTTTCTTGGTCTTTCAACACAGTAGCTTATGCCATTTTCCTTAAAGTACTTAGCTCCCAGGACACCACTCTTGCAGTTTCCTTCCTCCCTTTCTGTCTGGTCATCCTTATCTCAACCTGTACATTTCAGAGTGCCTCAGAGTCCAGCCCTTGGGCCTGTTCTGTTGTGTCTACACTCACTGACTTGGGGATCTTCCAGTCTCATGGCTTTACATAACATCTGAGGAGTCCCAAATTCACATTCCCACCTTGGACTTCTCCCTGCACTCTAAACCCATATATCCAACTGGCTGCTTGACGTCTCCGTATGAATACCTAATGACATTTTCAAACTTAACACATCCAAAACCAAGCTTGCAAACTTATTCCTCCTGTAGTCTCCCCCATCTTCCAGTGCGGGACAAAACCCTTGGAGTAGTGACCCTTGACCCTTTTCTTTCTTTCCTGCTCCACATCTGATCCATCTGCAAATCCTCTGGCTCTACCATCAGATTACATCTAGCATCGGACCACTTCTGAGCACCTCTACTGCTACCACTCTGACCCAGATCTTTTCCAGCTCTCAGCCAGATTATTAAAGCAGCCTCTATAAGGATGTCCCTGCTTCAGCCTTTGCCCTGCTTCAATTTATTTATTTTTTTTTTTTAGTATATCAGCCGGTAATCCTTTAAAAACATGTTAGGTCATGTCATGCCTCTGCTAACCTTCCAGTGACTTCCAAACTTACTCAGAATGAAAGCCAGCATCTTTACAATAGCCTTCAAGGCCCTGAATGATCTGACCCCATTGCCTTTCTGCTCTCCCTTCCACTAACCTTCCCCTGCTCACTCCACCCCAGGTACTCTGGCCTCCTTGCTGTTCACCAGGCATGCCAGACACACCCCACCTGTTTTCTTCTTGCCTGTAATGCTCTTCTAGATATTCTCAGGATGTGTTTGCTCATTTTCTTCAAGTCTTTGCTGCAATGTTGCCTTCTTAGTAAGGCCTTCCCTGACTACTCTGTTTGAAATTGTGTGTTTGTGTGTACATGCACACACAAATATATATACATGCACATCCTCACACTCTCTAATCTCTTTTGTGATTTTTGAGAAATCACCTCAAGTTCCATATTCTTTACTTATTTAGTTTATTTTACCTCTACTCCCTCAGGGCAGTGATTCTTGTCTGTTTTCTTTACACTTGTATCCCCAACATTTAGAATAGTCTTACACGTGGTAGGTGCTCTGTAAATATTTATTGACAGACTGAATGAAGAAATGGATATTTATTCAATGCTAAGGCACTATAATATATACTAGGGGTACATCGAACAAAGACAGTTTTATTCAGACCTTTGGCTTCTAGTTGAATGAAACATCCAGACAAATTAAGCTGCAATCATTGTGATTAAATAGATTTATCATGGAAGTACTCTGGTCTGTAAGAACACAAGAAGAGCTTGCATCCCAGACTTTGGGGGTCAGGGGAGGTTTCTTGGAGAGTATCACATATAAAATGAGACCAGAGACTGGAGACTCTCAGTTTCCAGTCCAGCTTGTAAGGATCTTAGAAGTCTTCACTCTGTCCTAACAACAAGTAAAAAGCTGAACAAACCACCTCGTGTTCTGTGGAACTGAGAGGACCGCAGTGCAGAAGGACTGGAGCATAATGTGGGGAGGAGTTGAAGGCGGTAACCAGGGCCGAAAGATGAAGGGCCTTGGCAGTCACATTAAGGAGTTTGGAATTTCTCTTGAGAGTATTATGTTACATTGAACAGTTTGGGACAGTGAGAAAAAAGAAGTGGTCAGGATAGGTGGAGGGCGTACAAATTAAGAGACTTTTGTAATAATCTATGCTGGAGATATTGGTGGCCTGATCCAAGGAAGTGGCCGAGAGGAAGTGAGAGTGAGCAGATCCTAGACTAGTTTAGGCAACAGAACCAATCGGGCATGGTGCAAGGAAAAGAGAAGAGTCGTGGATGATGGCCTGGCTTTCTGGCTTGAAACATGGGCTGGATGAGCTAGAGGACATAAGAGGAGGAGCAGACTTGCGCTGGAGCGAGGGAGGTACGTGAGGTTCTTCTGTGCATGTTATTTGAGACGAGACATCCAAGTGGAGATATCCGGGTATTGATTATATGTGGATCTGGAGCTCAGTGGATAGATCTCGGGTGGAGGGAAAAATAGATTTTGGAGTCTCCATCGTGTAGATGATACTTTAAGCTATTAAATGGATAAAATCACCCACAAGGCAGGTATGCAGTGATGATAGAAGAAAGCCTAGGACAGCTAGACCCCTCTGAAGACATCAGTATTCAAGGGATGGCTAGAGGAAGGGGAGTTGAAGAAGGATACGGAAAGGCAATAACTGGAGGGGCAAGAGGATTGGTGTCATGGAAGCCAAGGGAACAGAATATTCCCTGAAAGAGAGGCTGTCAGTGGATCAATACTACCAAGAAGTCAGTGAGATAATGATGAAGTGTTCCTGGGCTTTACTAAGAAGTCCCCAGTGAGCTTTCCAAGAACAGATTCAGTGAGGTGGGGGTGACGTTGTGTCCTTCTCGGCGCATCACACCCAGAGGCACATGATGTCAGCTTGTCCACTATTGGTGATGCTGGCTTTGTTTACTTGGTTAAGCTGGTGGCTTTTAGATTTTTCACTGTAAGGGTACATTTTCTTCTTTGTAATTAATCATCTTTGGAGTCATATTTTGAAAATATGTGACTAATCTGTTCTTCAACAGTGTTTAACCTGGGGCTTTTAGAATCCCATGATGATTCTTGCTTGAAACAGTTTAGTAGATGCCAAAATAGTGATTTAAAGGATTTTATCATTCCTTCTCCATTTCTTGCTTGGCATTCTGCATGATAACTCTGAAAGCCGCTGAGCAGTAATAATTGTGGCATAAATACATTTTGCTTTGCTCCCTAAGAGGTAAGTGCCTGAAAAAGTGTGTGTAACTGAGATATATTTCCATAGGAAATTTTCAGAGATATATTTCCATAGTAAAAAAGAAATGCCTGTAGCTTTATAAAAAGTATTTAAGAAAGGGCAACTTTTAACATATTTAAAAGATAAAAACCCTTTAATAAAATATAAACGGCCGCAAGCAATCAACAGTATACAATCCTGAAAATATCATGTTGTGCATTATCATAAACTGGTGATGAAGATAGAAGTCTTTTCTTGCTGAAGGATTATTTGGGACTTTTTTTTTGTGACCAAAAATGAATTTCAAATATGATGATCTGACATATTTGCTATATGGGCGGTGACATCACAGGTGTTTAATTTCCTCTCCAGTGCCGTGGTCAAGTTATTAATCCTTTGGGCCTCTGTTTTCTCATTGGTCAGTTGAAGAGTTGGGCAGATTATATGATCCTTTCAGATTCTTAATGTTGGATGATTATAATACTTATTATGTATACTGGGCTTCCTAATCCCCTTTGGCTAAAGAGAGTATTGTTCTGGTGACTTTGTTTATGTGTACTGGAATACAAGTGGTAAGATGGAAGCCAGAGGAGTAGAAGAAAGGAAAACAAAATGTGGACAAAACCATGAAGCGTAAGAAGAGATTGTGGTGGGTCTCAGTTCCTCTCTCAGGAGTATATGCTGTAGGAGTCTCTTCCACACAAGAAGGTTTTTTTAATAAAGACCTCCCCTGACCAACAAAATCAGAGCTATCTTTATAAAAGTTGAATCTCCACGAACTCAGTGTTCTCTCTCCACTCACTCAGCTACTCCCAGCTGTATCCTGACAGGAAATGCCCCTTTGAACGTAGTCATGGAAGGAGGATCCATTTCTCCCCTTACGTACCTGAGGAGAATTGATTCTGCATTATTTCATTTTTCGGCTGCGTCTTTAGCTTCTGTGCCCCAGCAGGACTAGAAAACTGGTTCTCTACTTATTCATTTCTTATTAAACCCATGAGTCAATTAAGGCATTTTGTGTTGGAACTTTCTGGTCCCTGTGAAGCAGGAAGGAGTGGGAAAGAGGGGAGGCACTGGCTTATTCTGCTGGTGATGGTGCACTTTGGGAGAAAGGCTAAGGAAGAAAAGGTCATTGTGCTTTTGTTTTAATAAAATGTCTATCTAATGATACAGGGTCTCCTACAAAGCCGGAGCTGTCTCTCGCCAAGAGTGAGTGGCAAAAGAAGTTGACTCCGGAGCAATTCTATGTCACGAGAGAAAAAGGCACTGAACCGGTAGGCTACACTGATTTACAATCTTCTGATTAGACATATTGGAGGTGAGGGGGGAGGATTAGAATAGACCTAGCTACAAAACCCAACTCATCATCGTCTGCTCTACAAATCTGGTCCCCTCCGTTGTTCTCCTTCTCACAGCAGCGGTATCCATCCAGTGGTAGAAACCACAAACCTTCCTCTGGACGCATTGCCTTCCATCACCTTACCCATCTATTCTGCCTCTTCATAACCTTCCTGTCACTCCAGTTCTCTCCGCTGCTCCTACTGCTGTGCTGGTCCAGGGTGCCCGCATCTCTCGCTTGTCAGACTGCATGCAGGGGCCTTCACCTGTTCTACGCACAGCCATCCTTCTTTGTTTTCATTGAGGTCATGTTGGCTTAGAACGTTGTGTAAATTTCAGGGGTACGGTGTTCTGGATCAGTTTCTGTGTAGACTGACTCATGTTCGCCACTGCCAGTCTGGTTTTTATCCATCACCATATGTATGTACTCACAGCCATTCTTGTTCCTCTCCTCGCCATTCTCCGCACAGCCACCAAAGAGATGTTCTGAAAACACAGATCTGACCACAGCACTCCCCTGCTCAGAATCCTTCAGTACCTTCCCACTGCTTTCGACGTAAAGAGAAAGTTTAAAAGTGGCTGATAAGGCCCTAACGGCTCCGGCCCGGACCTACCAGCCCCGTCCTCAAATCTGGCCCTTTTTTCTCTTGATCTCTGCGCTTTGGCCACACTGTCCTTTCAGCCCTCAAACACCCTGGGCTGCCTTCCCTCTGAGGGCTCTTGAACTCGATGTTCCCTCTCCTCTTCCATCACCTCCCAGCCCCACTTCGTTCAAACCCCTGTTTCATCTCTCAGCCCGGGTCTCACTCCCATAGGCAAGGCCTTTCTCAGCCCCAAGCTGGGTTTGGTTCCACCAGTTCTTTTCTGTCACAGCGTTTGCCATTGTGGTACATGCCTAGCACATAGCGTGATGCCCGGCTATTGTAGGCACTCAGAAAATAAATGCTTGTGAATGTCGAAGGACTGCAGGCTCAGGGGTGGGAACATTCTTTAAGCTGCATTCAACAATCTCAGCTTTCCTTCATTTCCTGAGAGAACAGTCCTCAGTGGTTCCTCGTTATAATACCATTTTACAGCACTCCGTTTCTTGACAAGTGGTCCGTCTTAGACACGAATATAGCTATTGAACTTGGTTATTAGATGCTTTCATCTGTGAAGCAGACCCCACAGAGTGCACCACAGCACAGTCATTTTGCAAAGTTGTAGAGCATTTATATCTGTACGTAGCAGTCCCTGCAAGGTGCAGGTAACTGTCCACATGCATGTGGCCTTATAATCATGGTCTTACGCTCAGCTTCTCCAATGCTAAAGTCATTAGACAGGCCAGCAGATCCCAATAGATTCTCATGAGATATTGGTATTTCTGAAAACTTCCTGTGGGTGGGATTTTAATAAAGCCTTCATTAAGAAAGAGAATTCATTAGCCGTTATTGCAGATAGCCCCACGTGATGCTTTGTGTACAGTTGTGTGTATTCCCGGAATATTCTAAGCCAGCCCTATTCTCAGGAACAGAGCCAGGCAGGGTTTGGTATAGCTACAGAGCCTGGAGACGAGCTGCCAGATGTTCAGGAGAATAAATCTGTGGGATTCTCAAACAGATGGTGCAATATACTCCGTACATTTGGCCATTTTACAAAATGAGCATCATCCATTATTTTAACTAATGTTATAAATCCCTTTCAGTTGATCCATTTCCATATTTAACTTTTTAGAATACTGCAGAACAGTAAGCCTTAGTTAGCTTCCTGAGGCTAAGGAAAGAGGTAAAACATGTAAGCTTTCTATTTGGTGACTCAAAATTCAGTTAGACGTGTTTTTCTTGGGCAGCAGTAACACACCAACACCCTGCTAGGTATGAGGAAGGAGCTTACAGCCTGACTGAGCAATAACTAAAAGTCAGATGGCAATAGAAGGTAGGTTTTCCAAGTCATCCTCTGTCTGCCCTCCAGATCCGCTCTCCACGTGTTCTACTCTCCTCTCAGCTCTGGGAGGAGTATCCAGCTCCCTTGCCCTTTGGCTCCTGATTGCGTTTGGCCAGTGGGAGATGCCAGCAAGATCAGAGGGCAGGACAAAGAAATGAGGATCCAGGGTCCTCTCTGGGGCTGTGTTCCTCTAGTGCAGGTCGCGGCTCCTGCAGGCAGCCCTCCCCTGGAGCTGCAGCCTCACAGGCTCTGGTAACTGCCCCCTCCCTTTGTCCCCCAGGCCTTGTAGCGGTTGTGTGTTCTTATGGTCACTGGCCCAGGGGTGCTTCACTCTCCTTTGTTGGTTTCCATTATCCCTGTCCCGACCTTTGTAAGTAGTTCTGTGTGAAATTATCTGCAAATAATCTCTTTTGAGTCTATCATCTGTTCCCAACAAGTATGTTGTATTGACAAGATCAAAGAAGGGAGATCTCCCATTGGTCCCGACAGACTGTCTTAGTCAGCTGAGGCTGCTGGAGCAGAATACTGTAGACTGAGGGGCTTGAACAACAAGCATTTATTTCTCATAGTTCTGGAGGCTGGCAGTCCAAGGCCAAGGTGCCTTCCAGTTCAATGACAGGCGAGAGCTTTCTTCGGGTTTTCAGATGGCCGCCTTCTTGCTATATCCTCACATGGTGGAGAAAGATCATCTCTGTCATGGCTCTTCTTATAATGGCACTGATCCCATTCATGAGGGCTCCATCTTTATGACCTGATCCCCTCCCAGAAGCCTCGCCTCCACTTACCATCACCCTGCGGATTCTGCTTCAACAAACCTTCAGCCCATCAAACAGACCTTGAAAACCCAGGGGGCATCTTGAGGGTCATTCTGTCTCTGACCCTGTCCCCCTCCCTGTACAGTCAGTCATTTCAGTTCTCTCTTCTAAATAATTCTTGAGTACTTCCTCTTCTTTTTATTTCCACTGCTCCTGCCACAGCTAAATCCAGGCCTGTGTTGGTGGCCGTTTGATGGTTCTTTGCCTCCACTGTCTGCTTGCCCCTGCTCCAGTCCATTCTTCACCTGGATGTCATGTGCACACCCAGTTGCACACAAAGTTTCCAGTGCTTCCCATTGTCAGTAGGGTAGAGGGTAAACTCTTAGCATGGTCTAATCAAAGCGCCCTGTGGTCCCGCCCTCCCTGCCTTTCCAGCAGCATCTTTCTCCTTTCTCCACCTTTCCTTGTTGTGTCACGTGGGCAGTGCCCAAGCTGCTCTGCCTGTCTGAAGTACTCTCCCATGGCTGCTTCTGATTATCTCTTACTCAGCCTTCAAAGCTCCGTGTAGTGTTTTGGCATTTTCCTATAATAAACATTAATCAGCTGTGTAATTAAAAATAATAGTAATAAAAGGTGGAAAAAAAACACAAAAGACAAACAACCCCTGATCTCAGCCATTATCTGGTGCAGAAAGCCTTCATGGAAACTTCCCTGGTAGTAAAGGGCCTAGTGCTAGCCACAGCCCCTGCTGACCGCCCCATCAGAGCTGCCACCTGTCAGCCCACGTGTCTCTTCCCAACCAGGGAGCAAATTCTTGGAGTGCAGGAACTGTGGCGCTGGGTTTTTTTTTCCCGTCTCTGCAACCTTATCACCCAGCCCAGCACTGGGTACGTACTAGATTTCCAAGTTCTAGAATGAACAGTTGAGATAGAAGCTGAATTTGGCCCCAAAGAAGTGACAGGACTTGTATAAAATTGAGGAGGACGGAGGGAGACGTCGGGAAGTCAGTCAGGGAGGCGGACCATAGGTGTCATTTCATAAAATATGTCAGCTAACGATTCCTTTTCATTTGAAATTTTTTTTTATTACTATAATTCTAATTCCTTGTCACCTCCTCTGCTCAGCTGTCCCCTGCAAGGACATAATTATATTTTGACTCTTCTCAGGCTGTCTGGATCCTATGAGTAGGCTTTTCTGGATCCGCTTCAGGACTGGTAGCCCTTTGGCGTGTGTGTCTCGTCAGCCCAGGTGGGAGGGATGGGAACCTTCCTCTTTGTTACAGATGCCAATGCATGCCAGCGTTGGGAGCAAGCGTTCAGGGTGATGGACCACAGAAAGACCAGCTTACCACTGTTCAGATTTTTGCAACTAAGTTTAGGGTCTTTAAAGAGGGAACACATCCAAGTGTGCCCAGATGGTAGGCTCAGTAGGTTAATTTGAAATTGTCCATTATGCAGCTCACTGAAAATGTGCTGTTAATACGACCACAGGGAATTCAAATGTCTGACCTGTGAATTTTTTCAGTTGGGAAATCTAGAGAGGACGGAGGGTTCCAGCTTATTTCCTGAGTCAGCTCTGTGACTCGGTGAGCCATTCTGTGCTTTGGCTTCCTTTCCATCCCGTAAAATGGGATAGTGCTTGTTCCAGACACTGGTCATGGATCTTCATAGTTGGCTTGCACAAGAGTTTCTTTTTCTTTAATTTTCTTTTTTTTTTAGATTGGCACCTGAGCTAACGTTTGTTGCCAATCTTTCTTTTTTTCTTCTTATTCTCCCCAGCGTGCCCCGGTATATAGTTGTATATTCTAGTTGTGAGTGCCTCTGGTTGTGCCATGCGGGACACTGCCTCAGCATGGCTTGATGAGTGGTGCCATGTCCGTGCCCAGGATCCGAACGGACAAAACCCTGGGCTGCCGAAGCAGAGCATGTGAACTTAACCACTCGGCCATGGGACCGGCCCCTTGTTTAGTTTGCTTTGACAGAGGAGATAGCAAAAGGACAAAAATGGTCCTTTTTTTTTTCACCAATGAGATCCAGTTTGTAAAGTAACACTTAAGAAACGATTGACTTGGCTCACTCATTGCCTTAAGTCTCCTTGTGTTCCTCTTAGGAGACCTTTGAAACCCGGTGAACTCCTGAAGCCACAATTAATGTGGTCATTTCGTCTACGTAGTAACTTTGGCACGGGGAGAATCTAGCTCATCATTTAACATGTATTGAGTATGCAGTGTCCTGAACACCACGTGAAGCGCATTATGGGCACAGCTCTGATCTCACTGAGCCGTGCTTTTTATGTATTTATATTCTCTGTTTAACTGGAGATTTCAAAGTGTTTTAGACAGTGGACTAGATTCCTATTGTACTAACGCGTTTGAAATGGAGACCGAGATCTCACCCCATCCAGAGGACTGTTCTCTCGCCTTTTCACGGACTTTTATGTTCTTGGATGAAAGGTGCTATATAAATACAAAGCATTATTAGTGTCATAATATGAATATTTGACACAATAAAGGCCGGGTTGTAAATAAGCTCGCAGGCTGTTTATTGGACCCATTGTAAGTTTCTCTCCGGTGATATTCAGGCTTTGTCAAATGAGTACAAAAATTCCTTTATCTGGGGACTTAATCTTGGATTTCAGTGTGCTGTATCATCCCTGCTGGTGTAATGAGAAACCTGAACATGACGTGTCTAATTGACTTTCAGCCCTTCAGTGGGATCTACCTGAATAACGAGGAGTCAGGAATGTATCACTGTGTGTGCTGTGACAGCCCACTCTTCAGGTAAGATACAGCATCAGGAGGTACTGGGGGAGGACAAACCTCTAAATTCAGACAGCTCTGTCTCAGTTGAGGCCTTGGATAGATATACACCATGTTGTTTTTAATTCCCCTTCTCCTTTGGTGCGATTGCTATGAGGAGAGCTGTTCCTTTAAGATTCTGGCCTGTCCTGATTATTTCTAGCATGTAGAGCAGTTAACAAGACTTTGTAACCTATAGACTTCCTTTCTATATCCCCAATAAATAGCAAAAACATAAAACTTGGTGGGCACCTTAAGATAAAGCTATTAGAATTTGTTCCTGGGAAAGTATTTAAAGAAATCTAAACCATAATAGTATTTGCTTGGCCATGTCATTAAAACTATATCTCTCCCAGGGAAAAAATGGGTTTATAATTTAATTTAGGAAATGTAGAATTTTATGAGGATAGATTCCCCACAATGCTTGACAGTAGTGAATACCATGCCCTCTTCTATGGAGCTAAAAGTAAATTTAATTGTCCCCTGATTTCAAAGCCTCTTTTAAGTCAATCAGGATCGGAATCTCTCCACAAAGGCTTTTTTGTTCAGACATGCAGGAAACAGTCTAAAAAAAGTAGATTCGATGCAGAAGAAAGGAAAATATCTTTGAAGTTCTGAAAAACAGGACTTCAAAGATGTTTTCCTTTCTTTTGCATCAACCCTCAATTAGTTTAGAATAAAATATAAATCAGGCCAGCTCCGTGAAGCTTCCATTAGGCCGGCTGCCGTGCGTCCTGTGTGCAGCCTGCGCTGCCGGCTGCTCTGTGGCCTGAATTTGGAAATCCAGACCCTGCCTGCAATGATAGGCACCATAAGGATGGATTTTCCTTCATGCTCAGGGAAGGGCAGGCATTTGCCCGGATCCATCCACTCTGGCAGTGGCTGGTGAGGAGGTTTCTAAGATGGCAGGCAGCCCGGGATGGCCTGGGGGTAGCTGGGAGAGGTAGGTTAATTTTGACACGGTAAAGTGCCGGGTGCATATTTCTGACACGTTACTTATTCCTTGGCCTTTGGTTCCGTTAAAGAGGAGAAGTAGGACCTTGAAAGGGCCAACCTGCTTTTAGCCAATGAACTGAGTTGTAAAAGTGAAAAGGGCTACTGTGTTACTACGTGGTAGTTGGACAGACGTTCTGCTTCTGTCTTTGGACTAGGAAGACAAAAGATGAGAGGTCATCCTTGCAAGAGCATTTTAGTCTTTGTTTGGTGACTTCCCTGGTACTCCAGTTTCTGCAGCTGTAAAGATGAGAGCTTATTCCTACCCAATACCCAACATCCCCTCGGCACACAGGCTCTGTCATGGAATCACAGAATGTTGGAGCAAGGAGAGACCTGAGAGACCAGAGCAGAAAGCCCTGTCCAGTAGAACTTTCTATGATGAGGGAAATGTTCTATATCTGCTCCATCCAGTATGGTGGCCACTGAGCACATGTGGCTGTTGATCACTCAAAATGTGGCTAGTGTGCCTGAAAAACTGTATTTTTAATTTTATCTAATCTTAATGAATTTAAACCTAAAACGCCACCTGTGGCCACTGGCTACTGTATTAGCACAATGCTAGTCCAAATTCAGGATGTTGAGTGACCAACGCAGGTCACTGGGGTAGTGAAACAGCCAAGACTCACAGGGAAACCAGCCCATTCTCCAAAAGCCCTTCTACCACGTGGCTAACCATATTTCTTTCTTTTTAATCATTTCATTTTAGTTGAAGTTTCCATTTTCTTTTCTTAAGGACTTTTGAGTTTGTTCCATTTTTGCCACTGCTGCTGCTGTAGCTGAGACTCAGAAAAATATCTTCATAAGAATCTTTTATGTTCCCAAATATACTCTTCTTATAGATGCCTGTGGTTATAGGAGAGACAGTGTAGTAGAGTGGTTAAGGCTGCCTAGAGGTACATCCTGGCTCCATTGCTATGTGACCTTGGGCAGGTTTTCTTAGCCTCTCTGTGCCTCGATTTCCTCATCTGTAAAATGAGCATGATAATAGTACCAAATTCATAAGGTTGTTGAGGGGATTAACTGAGCTCTCAGTCAATACATGGAAAAGCCCCAGAGCAATGCCTGCCACACGCCAAGCACTCAGTGCCTGTTAGCCGTGAGATATTCTTAGAGACGGATCCTTCTTAGGCCTATGTGCATGAATGTATCTCTGATAATGAGGAATTCTTGAGAATATGTTCTAATTAACGAGAATCTATAAATGAAGACTATATTCCTGAGCGTGCTCCCCATTCAACAGGATACTCTTAGGAATATATTCTCGTTTTGCCTCTCATTTTCTGTCTCTCTCTGTCCCCAGTCTCCAGCCTTAATAATAGGAGCAGGGGTAGAGAAAACATAAACATTCCTTCAAATGCTTGTATAGAGTCAAAATGAGGTGAAAAGTCTGTCGACCAAAACTGAATAGTTAAAGAGTCAAGTGGGTGTGGGACCACCGCCTCTTGGCAGCTGGGCTCGTTGCTGCCTCCAGACTTCGCTTCACACCAAACCAATATGGTGGGTGTTCTGGGAGAGCAGTCAACTCTTCAACCAGAGGCCTTTAATCCAGGGTCTCCGGGTCAAGAACACTCAGGATGTTATCACTCCCCTGGGGACTCTAGACTGTGGCTGCATCAGCCTTGGAATTATGTGACTTTGTCCCCTCCCCTGCTTCCTCTCTTCCCTTTCCTTCTCTCCCCCCCACCCCGCCCCCCGCGCAGGCTCATTCTGGAAGTGTTTATTAAAATCTACTGTGGGATCACATATTTCATGGTCATAAATCTTCTTAGAATTAAAGGAACCCAAGAGCCTGATGTTAGTTCCCTTTTTACATAACTTCCTGGTGTCCTCCATGTTATGAGTAACTGAGTATCACTGTGTAGAAACTTTGTGTGCTCCCATTCCTTCCACTGAATGGAAATTCTTCTAAGATGCTAGCATTGCCAGTTATCACTGGGTGCCTCTGCTGTTGGTTTGGAGGCTGTGGAATTTCCAGAAATGAAGAAAAAACAAAGCAAATAAACACATAATAGAACTAAACAAAAGACACACCTCTAAGAGTACATGAGAAGAGATGATCCAGAATGGTTTTTAGGTTTTCAAGGGTGGGCCTTATAATCTGCTAATCATTTAAATGTGTATATTGGAATTCTAATTGACCTTACTATTTAGGTTCCCAGTCTTAAATTATATATGATGGGCCTCTCATATTACTTGGTAAAATCTTCAGATTCTGTTAATTGCATCAGTGAAGGTTTATTATTTCCCATGAAATGTTTTAAAATGACTTTTTATTAGTCTTAGATTCAGTCATTAAAAATAATTTATCATATTCATAATTCTCCATCAAATTCTTTTAATGATCACTAGTTTATATATAATGTTGAGGTTGGAAAGGCTATGATGAAAAGATGCTTAAGATGTTTTTCCCTAGGCCAGAGTGGCTCAGGTGAAGACTTTTGAACTCTTGGAAAAGGATTTCAAAGAACCCGACCTAAATGTGCAGATGCTTCTAACTGGACCCACAGCTGCACAAATTTCTTAGATATCTGTTATTCATAATAATAATGATATTAAGAAATAATAGCTACTGACTTAATATGCCATGTTTCCAGCTCTCGGCTAAAGACGCTGTATACAGAAAATCTCTGAGTTAACCCTCTCGCAACCCTGTGAGGTAATAATGCCCTTACTGCTCTATGGACTGGGGCACTGAGGCTTTAAGAGATTCAAGAACTTGCCAAGGTCACAGCAATGTCACAGGCATGGCCTGGATTCACACCCAAGTCTTCTAGAAGTCAAAGCTCTTGCTCCTCGAAGTTATACCTGTGCTTCTCAGAGTGTGATCTGAGGACCCCCAGAGTTCCTGGGACCCTTTTAGGGCATCTACAGGGTCCTCCCTTTTCTAACTGCACATGCATGAGGCCACATCCTCTTCCTACGCTTCAATCAAAACAACGCCGCAGTAGTTTGAATGCAGAAGCACATAGGAAGATTCAGCTGTCTATTTTTTTAAGCTAGACATTAAAGAGATTTGCAAAATTGTAAAACAGTGCAACTCTTCTCACTAAGTACTGTTTTCATTTTGGAAAATGTAATTATCTTGTAAAAATATTATTTATATTACCATGTAATAAGTTTATTGTTTTTAAAAATAATGCATGCTTTTAAAATTCTCAGTGATAATTTCTGATTTGTTAAATGTGGATATACATAACCCATGTAAACAAAAGTTCTCAGAGATGCTCAGTAATTGTTCAGTGTAAAGGGATGAGGCCAGAATGTGGGAGAATCGTGTGTTACCCTAGACTGTCTCTGCCGGGGTGTGACTGAGCTTCCTTCTGTGTTCATAGTCTAGGAATGTGATGATTTGCCACTTTTCTTCCTCCTTGCTCAATTTTTTTTGCAGAATTTACAATTCATTTCTTCTCTCTTTTCCTTAGATAGAGAGCCATCTCCCTGCCGTTTATTTATTTATTTTCTTTTTGGTGAGGAAGGGTGGCCCTGAGCTAGCATCTGTGCCAGTCTTCCTCCATTCTGCATGTGGGATGCCACCACAGCATGGCTGAATGAGCAGTGTGTAGGTCCACACCCAGGATCCAAACCCGCGAACCCCGGCTGCCAAAGCAGAGTGTGTGAACTTAACCACTACGCCACTGGTGTGGTGCCCCCATTTAAATTTTTTAAATCTATTTTCCTAATGCCATTTAAGGGAGCTCACCTTTCAGAGCACCCAGAGTGGGTCTTTGGTGAGTAGCTTTGCTTGTTGCCCTCCTCCTCTTGCCAGCTCCCCTGGCCGCCCCAGCCTTCAGCACCGTTGGTGAGCGATGGGGCTGCCAGGTGGTCAGGCTTCACTGCAGTGATTGATGGCCTCAGGGTGCCCAGGCTTACTTATTCATAATGACAATCACAGCAAACATTCATGAGCACTCTGCTCCAGAGCAGCTCCTTAAATCCTCAGACCATCTCCATACTTAGATACGATTATCCCCGTGTTACAGGGGAGGAAACCGAGGCCTGGAGTGGGTAAGTAGCTTGCCCCATTTCCACAGCTGAAAGTGGCAGAGGCGGCTTTTGAATCCCCGCAGGAGCCAGCCTTCTGTGTTTAGACAACCCGAAGTTCCCATTATTGAAAATCGGTGTTTCATCAGATCTCACACCTCTCAGACGCCGAGCTCATGAAGCCCTCCTTCGGCCGCTGTTATCTCGTTTTGATTTCCCCTTTTCTACGGTTAGAACACTTGCATTTGGTCTGTGTTTCCTAATGAGCAACACAGTTCACAAAGCTCCTAGTGTCTTTAGCTCCTTGTCGGACATTGAGAGAAGACCTTGGCATCAGAAGAATGAGAAATCTTTTCACTGTGATGGAACGATGTCTTTAATCGTGAAGGTGCAGTGGGCAGAATTCCTGGGGGCCTGATTCTTTGCAGACCTGGCCTTGGGGTCTGGCAGAGGAGAGAGGGACTCAGGTCCTGCTCGGTAGAAAAATGAGCTGCGGCATGAAGTGCTCTTTGTGTGTTCATGACAGTCTTAGCAGCTGTAATGTTGAGAATGTCTTCCACAGTTCTGAGAAAAAGTACTCCTCTGGCACTGGCTGGCCTTCGTTTTCAGAGGCTCACGGGACATCTGGCTCTGATGAAAGTAAGACTGGGATCCTGAGACGTGTGGACCACTCGTCAGGATCCGTTCGCACGGAGGTTGTCTGCAAGCAGGTGAATTTCTTCGTTTTGTCTGTTTTGTTTCCTCCAGTGCTGCCCCGAGTGCCACAAAGAGCTGTCTTGTCCTTGGCATATCTGGTGGTATTCCGTGGGAGTACTTTGTCACAAACACATCGGGTTTCTCCTCATGCTGCTTCTTATCCCTCTCGCTCATCCTTCTGGGCACTGCAGAGAAGAGAAAGAGCCTTCCTGAGCCGCGCCTGAAGCGGCCAGCTCTGAGTCCTGTCTTCCAGAGATGGGAGCAGAGTGAGCCTCTGAAAGAAAGGGTTGGCCCTTCACATCCTTTCAAACAGGGGCCGGCAGCAGGGAGGCCCAGCATGGTTGGCATCTCTCCGCCTTCCTCCCCACTCTGCAGCATGTCACTGACAGTCAGAGTGACACTGCAGATGACATAGCTCATTATTCCTCCTGTGAGTCTGGTAGGAGACAGTGGCTTAGATCCAGACAGCAGATTCATTTTGATATCCTTGGGTTCTCAAATTTTCTGGTTTTGTAAACCACCAGAGGCGAGCAGATAAACATAGCATAGTCTTGTCTTCAGTAAAAAATAATTGTGATACACTGGCTACATTATTGAGTACTCACCCAGGAACTGTATTAGCACTTCACATGCATTATATCAATTAATCATCCCAACGGCTCTATTAAATAGGTATAATTATTATCCCCATACTATAGATGAGTCTGTCAAGGCCTAAGTTAAATAACTTGCTCCCATTCTCACTGATAAAGTAGATAGCTATTGACTACCGCTGTGCTCTGCGTCTTTCATTTCTTAATCAAACTCTGGTGTGGTAGACTTTTTCCCCACACAGATGTCGAACGCCAGAGTGGGGTGTCTGGTTTTATGTAAAGAGCCTTGGCTCAGTGGAGAACTGACGGATGCTTCTCTCCTTGCAGTGTGAGGCTCATCTTGGCCATGTGTTTCCTGACGGACCTGGGCCTACTGGTCAGAGGTTTTGCATCAACAGTGTGGCACTGAAGTTCAAACCAAGTTCAAACTGAAGTTCAAACCTGACTGCCTCCAAGAGCCCCCTTCCCTTGCCACTCCCTCATTTCTACCCTCAATTTTCATAATTCGTGTGAATGATTTGTTTTATTTACTACCAAGCTAGGCTAAGTTGGCTGCTGGCACCAAGCAAGTCACGACTTCTCTCCTTTATTTACCTGGAATCAACTCAATCCTGACTCCACCTTGGACTGTGGAATGTCACAGAATGACAGAGGGGCAGCCATTTCCATCAAATTGACTTCTGTCGGCTTTGCCTGGGACCGGAAGGCATGACTCTCTGGGGACATTAGGAGGCTGTTGGACTGTAAGCCAGAAAATTCTTACAAAGCTGCTCTGAACTGTCCAGGGCAGTTAAGTCCTCTGTGGACTAACACAGTGAGGGATTGAGTGAAAAGAGGAAGAAAAATGCGGGATTAGAGTCATGCACCGTCCAGCACTAGAGGGGCACTAAGGATAGGATTGTGGAAGAGCTGTGCTCTGGGAGACACATATGGTGATTGATGGGATGCATGATCTGTTTTCAAAATTTTAGAATGTCTTTAGAATTTTAGAATGGAACATTCTAGTTCCAACCTTTCCACCTGCAAATGAGTTCCAATGGGAGTGTGTTGGATTTCCGTAATAATGAATAAAAGTGGCCTCAAAGTTAAACTTTAAAATGTTCAAATAAAATATTTTTTTGTTTCAGTAACATTGGTTTATAACATTATATAAATTTCAGGTGTACATCATTATATTTCGATTTCTGTGTAGATTACATCATATTCACCACCCAAAGACTAATTACAGTCCACCCCCACACACATATGCCTAATCACCCCTTTCGCCCTCCTCCTTCCTGCCAAAATAGTTTTGTCTAAGTCTATGAAGTTGTTCTTTTTTTCAAATGACTTTAAATCAGATACCAAAAAATTATTAGATGACAAGGTAGTAGGCATTTGGTTATAACAACACTAATAGCAACTTAAGTGTTTTACAAATTGAGTCTTGGATAATTTGTTATTGACAGAGTTTAAGTCATTCTCTTTGAGACTTTACAGACAGAAAGGAAGCTTAACCATTTTTCTCTTTACTACCTTGTTATGTATTATTTAACTCTTCTTTTAGTGGTTACACTGGAAATCACAGCATGTATCCTTAACTTGTTAGTCATATAAAAATTATTACTTTTCTCTACTTTGCCAAGAATGCTAACCTTAGAACACCTTAATTCCATTAACACCCTCCCATATCTTATGTTACTATTGTCGTGTATTTAATTTTACACACATTTTAAGCCCCACAAATCATTATTTATGTACATGTTGGTATTCATGTATATTTACCTATATATTTATCCTTTCTGTTGCTCTTTATTTCTTCTTGAAATCCCGTGTTTCCCTGTGGGATTATTTTCCTTCTGCCTGAAGAACTCCTTTTACTTTTTCTTTTAGTTCATGATTCCTAGTGATGAATTTTTCCAGGTTTTGTTGGTGAGAAAATGTATTTATTTTCCTTTCATTTTTTTAAAGTTTTATTGAGTAAAATTGATCTATGAAAAAATTGCATATATGTCATGTATAAATTTTAGTAAGTTTAGCCTCCTTTCATTTTTGACGAATTCTTGTCCCTGGGTATAGAATTCTAATTTGGAGAAGTTTTATTTTAGCATATTAAAGTTTTGTTCCTTTGCCTTATGGCTTCTATTTCTGGTTTCTTCTGAGAAAAATCAGCTGTCAGTGCTATTGTTCCTTTGAAGGTAAATTGTTCTCCCACACACACTCCCTGGGCCTTTTTTTATGGTGTTCTTTTTTATCTGATTTTCAGCAGTTTGTGATGTGCCCTGGTGTGGTTGTCTCGGTATTTATTGGACTTGGGGTTCACAGAGCTCTTTAAATCTTAGGTTGATACTTTCATCAGTTTTGGAAAATTCTGTTATTACTTCTTCACTATTCTTTTTCCTTATCCTCTCTCTCTTGTCCGTCTGGATCCTGAATTACACAAATTTTAGACCATTTGTTGCGTCCTACATATCTCTAAGTTTCTTTTCTGTGTTTTCCCATCGTTTTTCTTTCTGTGCTTCAGTTTGCACGTTTTCTGTTGGCATGCTCTTTGATTTACCAGTCCTATCCTTTTGCTTATCTAGTCTGCTTTTGAACACACCTTACAAGATCTTGATTTCAAATGTTGGACTTTGTTAGTCCTAAAATAACCATTTGATTCTTTTTTTATGGATTCCAATTCTCTGTTGAAGTTCTCTATCTTTTTCACCTATTTTTCTCCTATATTTTTTATCTCCTTTCTTGAACATATTAAGCATAGTTTTTAAAGCCCTTGTTAGCTAACTTCACTATCTAGATCACTTGTGGGTCTATTTTTTCTTTTGATTTTCACTCATGTTCTTGCCTTTTGGGATGTCTAGTAGTTTTTACATTGAATTTTAGATATTATGTATTTAAAAAATATTGCACTCCCAGCTGATGTTACCTCCCTCTAGAGTGAGTATACTTTTACTTGTGCTGGGCAAATAGAGTGTTGGCACTCATTTTAATCCATTCAGAGACTGTGCTAAATTGTACATTTAGAGGCGGGGTTGTACACCTGATAAAGCTCAGTCTACCTCTGGTTTACCCCTGACCTTCTAGGTCTTACAACTGAGATCCTGTGTATTCTGTGAGGCCCTTCTCCTAAAACAGTCTGAACTCTTAATCTCTGCTCATGGCACTGCTGAAAAATAATGTTCTGCTTTTCAGAGGCTTCCCACATAAGGTTTTAGCGTCCTGACCCACACAGATCCCATAGTCATCAAATGTGCTGAGAGGAAAACAAGCCATTTACTTGAGGGATCCAACTCTCTGCTAAATACTCTGCTCATTTCTATGTCCCCTAGCAGATGCCCTTTGTGAGTATGAAGCTCAGATTCTCAGGCTCTTGGCGGAGTTCAGAATTGGCAAATGATCCTAGGATAGAAGTGGCTCTGTGGGGTTCTTCCCTCTCTGGAGTTGAGGTAGGCAGAATAATGGCTCTCCGAAGGTGTCCATATCCTAATCCCCAGACCTGTGAATATATTACCTTTCATGGCAGAAGGGTCTTTGCTGATGTGATCAAGTTAAGGACTTTGATACGTGGAGATTACCCTGGATTATGGGGGTGGGCCCGTTCTGATCACCTGAGACCTTAGAAGTAGAGAACTCTTCCTGGCTGGGGTCAGAGAGAGCTGTGTGATGGAAGAATGGTCAGAGAGATGCTGCATTGCTGGCTTTGAAGATGGAGGAAGGGCCACAAGCCAAGGACTGAAAATGTGAGTAGCCTCTAGGAGCTGGAAAAGGCAATAACAGATTACCCCCTAGGGCCTCCAGAAAGGAACACAGCCCTGCCAACATCTGTTTTATCCCAGTGAAGACTCCAGACTTCTACATGGCTGTGAGATAATAAGTATGGGTGGTTTTAAGCCACCGAGTTTGTGATTGTTTGTTACAGCAGCAATAGAAAACGAATACAGAATCTTAGCCTATTTACTTCTCGTTACCTCAGAAGTTTGTGCTGCCTACGGAGGGAGAATTCCTGTGTTTTGCTGAGCTGTTCTGGTTCTTCTGGATGAGAGTGCTGGTATACTGCTGACTCCTTCATTCCTGCTGGATAATAGCACAAAATTTTTAGTATCCAAAGCCTTTTAACTTTGCCCTCACAAACGTCCCTGTGGGGAAGACAAAGACAGTATGTTTATTGCTGTTTTGTATTTGAAGTGGAAGTTCAGGAAGGTTAGGTGAATTACTCAAAATCAGATAATGATTAAGAAACCAAGGCAGGACTACAACACAGGTTTCTAGACCCTATGTCCAGTCCTCTTTCCATTATTCTAGTTCCTATTACCTACAATCAGAATCAAGGACTCCTATTTTTTAAATTATTTATGTACAGTAAAACATACTTAAGTGAACAATTTGCTGAACATTAATAATTTCATACAATCATGTAACCTCTACCGTCCAAGATATAGAAGAATTCCCTTTACCTAAAATGTTCCCCCATGCCTCTTTGTAATTAATCCCTCCCCACCCCTGACCCCAGCCAATGACTGATGTTTCTGTCACTATAGCATTGCCTTCTCTAGAATTCTATATAAATGGAAACACATGGTATGTAGCCTTTTGTATTTGGAGCCTTTCACTTGGGCTAATGATTTTAATATTCATCCGTGTTATATTGTGATTTGTTCCCTTTTGTTGCTGAGTGCTAGTCCATAGTGTATCCATGGGTAAACAGTTTATCTATTCACCAGTTAATGGACATTTGGGTTGCCTCTACTTTTGGCAATTATAAATAATGCTGCTATGAACATTTACATACATACCTTTGTATGGATAAATGTTTTCATTTCTCTAGGACTGAAATATACATTTAACTTCATAAGGTACTGCCATATGTTTTTCCACAGTGGCTTTTCCATTTCACATTCCCAACAGCAACAGATGAACATCCAGTTGTTCCACATCCTTTTCAACACTTCCTCTTTTCCCCCTACAGATAGCCAATTGCCTTAGCATCATTTGTTGAAGACTTTCTTGAATTTCCTTGACATTTTGCCAAAAATTAATTTAGGATATAAGTGTGGATCTATTTCTGGACTCTCTATTCTGTTCCATTGATATGTCTATCTTTATGGCACTTATACCACACTGTGTTGATTACTAGAGCTTTATAGCAAGTTGCGAAATCAGGTAGTATGAGTTTTCCAACTTTATTCGTTTTCAAAATTGTTTTGGCTATGCTGGTTCCTTTGTATTTTCATATCAATTTTAGAATTATCTTAAATTTCTGCCAAAAAACTTTTGGAGTTTTAATTGTGATTGTATTGAATATATTAGATCAATTTTGGGAGAGTGACATCTTTTTATTTAAAGATTGGCACCTGAGCTAACATCTGTTACCAACCTTTTTTTTTTCTTTTTCTTCTTCTTCTTCTTCATCTTCTCCCCAAAGCCCCCCATTACAGAGTTGTATATTCTAATTGTGGGTCCTTCTAGTTGTGGCATGTGGGACGCTGCCTCAGCGTGGCCTGCTGAGCGGTGCCATGTCTGTGCCCGGGATCCAAACCAGTGAAACCCTGGGCCGCTGAAGCGGAGCGTACTAACTTAACCACTCGGCCACATGGCTGGCCCCGAGAGTGACATCTGAATAATGCTGACTCCCGTTAGCCATAAGCCCAGTATATCTCTCCATTAATTTAAGTTTCTTTCATTTTTCTTTAAATACTTTGTAGCTTTTAGTGTGTGGGTCTTACACATATTTTGTTAAATTTATCCTAAACTATGTGAATTTTCTTAATGCTATTATAAATTGAGTTGTTATTTACATTTCATATTCTAAATTTTTATTGCTGTTATATAGAAATGCAATTAATTTTTGCGTTTCAACCTTGTATCCTGCAACCTTGCTAAATTAACTGACTTGTTTTCATCCTAGTGGCTTTTTTTTTTAATTCCTCAGAGTTCTCTTCATACACAATCATGTTGTCTGCAAATAGGACAGTTTTACTTCTTCTTTTCAATTTGCCTCTTCTGTTTTCTGCCTTATTCTTTCCCTGGGCCTTCAGTACAAAGTTAAATCAACTTAGTAAGAGTAGATATCTTTGCTTTGCCTTGTTCCTGATTTTAGGTAGAAAACATTAACTCTTTCATCGTTGATTATAATGTTAGGTTTTTCATAGAT